CTTTGTCCCCACAGACACTCTACTATTAGTCTACTGTTAAGAAAAAGTGTTTTCCTCTGAAAAAAACAAAAAAACAAAAATAGTTTGTTAAATATTTCATGAAACAACCTAAAGAACTTCATTAAAGTTTACCAGTGGTTAAATGGTTAAAGAGCCCAAATACTTCTTAAGACCTCTGTATAAACTCAACTGATGAAACCAGTTAGACAGAAGTTAAACAAGGCAAAGGCAACAACCCTGCGGAAAACACCTGGGCCACAACTTCATCAGCGACTTGGTCAGTGAAGCTGCCCTTAAAAGCAGTGCCTAGTACTAAAATAAAGACAAAAACTATGCACACTTTCCAAAAGGCATCTCCTTCCATTACACAGTGCCTCCCCAAATAGCTATGGAAATTGAAATTGTTATTTTCATCTGTCCAATTAGCTAAATGAGAAAGGCTGCAATCAGTAAATTCTGTACAGAATTATAGCTTCTCTTTCAAAGTAATCCCAATCGTAACCATTGCTACTGAGCAAATCAGCAGTAAATGAATCACAGAGACTGCTGCTGAGTGTGATGTGGGCACTGATAAATCTGAGGTATTCTTAACAAATACTCTGTGAGCATTCTGATGGTCTGGTACATCGGACTTCAGTTTGACGTACACTATATGTCCAAAAATACTCAGACACTTAGTAGAACCCAGCTACTAAAAGGTGCACCCACGGCTGACACAGGCTTTCAACTGCACACAGAAAGGTTGTATAATCTAGAAAGAAGAGCACTGTTAATACAACAGGATGCTGTGGAGCAGCTGCAAATGAGCATAAAGTCACCATGTCCAATGTGAAGCCTAGGCTAGCGGGGTATTTGTCTGTTTCAGCCACGTGACATTTTCTTGCAGCAATTATATTACTGATCTATACTAATCTTCTCAAAGGGAAAGCAAGGTAGAATTCAAAGACATTGTTCAAATTATGAAAGCAAATTTCAATTATGAAAATCAACAAAAAAAAACTCTTACTCCAAGTTGATTGATAAATACTGTTGCAGGTAACAGAATCTGTATTGGGAGAGATTAGTGCAACCCCAGTTAATAACTGTAGTTTTAAAATTGCTATTTTGTGGGATTATTATAAATATGACTTTTGCCATTATTATGCCTGTCCTCTCCACAGGCTTCTTCAGATACAGAGCTACCAGGTGTACCTATGGTGTCAAACACGTGCATTTCTTCACAAACTGGAAGTGATCTGCTAGCTGCTCGCTGTCTTGAATTTTACAGGTCAGTGGGTTCTGGAACAGGACTGGATGAGGTAAGCATTCATCACGGCAGCCATTCTGCAGAATGGAGCCATGAAAGCAAAACGAGTGAAGACACAAAACTCACAACGGAGGGACGACCCCCCCACCATGACGACAGATGAATCGCCCAACTGGACAACACCTGCTCCCGTAGAGACTGGACGTAGGGCAATAGAGAGTGAGTGGGCAGAAACAGTAGGGAAGAGTAGAAAGGTGTGTGTGAGCTTAAATTGCATGGCAGCGCAGCAGGTCATTCTGTGTTCCTGTGTTTCGTTTTGGCATTAATAAGGTTGCTCCAAATCAAACCCATGCTGAACGAAGATCTGTATGATACTATAAAGAAAATGTTCTATTAACAAGGCAAACAATTTTAATGGAGTTCTAAATGTATTTTTGAGGCTTTAAATTACAACACTGAAAATGTGAATACACCTACAGAATATTCATGAATATTAGTGTGAGCAAGAGAACAGAAAAATTGAACAAGTTATCTTCACACTGATAACAGTACATAATATCAAAACCAGTTAGACTGAATTGACCTATCCTTTGTGCCATCTTCAATAAAAATGTTTAGACAGCAAGGCCTAGGAAACTGCACAATACTGCCAGTGCTGTGCAATACTGGGTGGAATGTGCAATATAGGGGCTGTTGTAAGTCAGGTCGATAAGCTATGTAATTTGTTGTTTTCTGTTTTAATTGTTGCCATTGGTATATACAACCAATAAAGTGTACGTTTATTTATTTTTCCATCCATTCATATTTTTCATTGTAACTACTGCGAGGATGGTCAAGCTTTGGGGACACTGACAAAAATAATGAAAAACTGTAGTCCAGTTATTATCAAAATTCATAAATTAAAGTGTGCCATTTATTTTATATGTTTAGAATTTATATAACACTGTGTGATTGGGTGCAGTTTACTTGTTGTGCAATCAAGGTTTTTAAGGATATTTATGGATTGATAGGCTAAGCAGAAAATTAACTGGCTTCAGCTGTTTTAGCGTTGCTAGCTGAATATGTTAAATAGAGGCTCAAACAATCACATATGTAAAGGACACACTGCAAGTTAGCACAAGTAGGTCAGAATACAGATGCATTGACACTCCTCTTTTTGAACTGAGACTCAGACTCATTTAACAGACAGTACTTCAAGGCTACAGAAAACACACATACACATACACACATATTACTTAAGATGGATGTATGTGTGTGTTTGTGTGTGCATGCAGCTCAGTTACCCACACTCACGCTTCACTGCTTCACGATGCTAAGCAGAGAATGGCATGAATTATGTACCACACATACACACACCTAACATGGATTCTTAGGCCGCCACCGACTCCATAAGCTTCCTGTTCACCCAAACGTTCACTAGCCCACTCATCCATCCATCTATCTGTTCACCGACATGAGTCCCTGGACGAATTTACTTAAGGCCAACCAAGCAAGTAATTAGTTAGATGAGGGAGCCCAGCAACAGAGCTCGGCAGAGGAGGAGAAGAAGGTGGAGAAGAGAAGAGGTTATTTGGTGATTAGACTGGAGAGAGTTACTGCGCCACACCCAACTGGCCAGAACCTGCAGTCTTGGAGTAAGTGAGTGAGTGACGGGGAGTGAGCGAGGGAGGCCTCGAATGAGTGAGTGATTGACTGACTGACTGTCTGACTGAGTGAAATAGAAGATGAATGAGGGAGAGAGTGAGTGAGTAAATAAGATAGTGAGCAAGTGAGCTCTTGGACAGGATCAGAAACCCAACAAACTAAAACACATAATGCACTCTCATCCCACTCAACATAATTCTGTTTTCACATTTCTCAATGAATGAAACCCCTCTCTGTCTTTTTTCCGTTACTCTTTTCATCCCTATTTCCTTCCCACTCTTACTCGCTGCGTATATTTGCATCTTAATCCCGTTTGATCAAATATATATATATATTAATTGAAATCTTAGGTTCCAAAACAAGATGAGCACCGATGATCTAAGCAGTTTTATGCTATGTAAATGGAGAAAGAAACACAAGAGTGTACATCATCAGGCTAGCTCTCTTTAGAAAGCGAGGGAAGAAGGTGGGGGGAGGGGGAAACCCCTTCTGCAGCATACTGCCTATACGAGGAAAGCCCTCTTGCATGGTGTATCCCCGTCACGTCCCCAAGACTCATCTAGCATAGCGCGCAACCACATTAAATCAATGCGCCATCTAAAAGTGTAATTGTCTATCTGCGCGAGCCTACTACTTTCACCCTTTTCTTAAGACACTCACTAATCATATTCTATTATTTGTAGGGTAAGCAAGGAGGTCGTTCTTTTCGTGCAAAGAAGTGCAGTTTATAAGGCAAAATCTTTCCGTTGACATACAGGCAGAAACCAGCTCGGGCTTTTCCACAAAGCACAGTGTAATCACAGGATGTCGGGTTTCTATAGGCTTGCGAGGTCGAGATCAGATTAGTTACACACATGAGGAGACTACGCGAGTGCACGCATCAACTGCTTTCGCATGAGCAATCACACTGCACAGAATCCAAAAGGGACATTGCACGCGCTGTCTCTTGCAATTAAAGCCGCCGACAGATGGAAGTGGAAACAAATTCTACACAGGTCATTCATAATTCATAATATATAAAATGGTATTAGCCAGTACAGCAATCTCCAAAAATATGCTGAATAAAAGCTATGGGAATTGTCATACAGCAAAAACACCTGGACCCAAACGCGCTCGACAACCACTAGGGAAAAGTGCGAGAAAAGAAAAGGATATATGGTCATTTTCCATCTTAAATGTCAACGGATGGACAAGTGCATGTTAGACAAGATAGATAAGGAGAGTCTTATTTTGGGCAGATGAGAGGACAGTGTTTCTACACCATTCAAACTTAAAGGGGAATTCCACCAATGTTTCAGAATTTTACCATAATTAAATGTTTAAATTGTAAACAAAGTCGTTAGTTGTGGTTTGATGCCAAATGCTCCGTTCTAGATTATCTTTCCGAGTCAAAATTTTTCACAGTGGCGGTGATAGGATCCTTTTAAGATAAGCTTTAAGCCTCAAGCTTTTTTTTCCCATTCATTCATGGTGGAGTGGTGCATGCAGGGCGTTGTAAGGCAAAATAGTCCCTACAGAAAACTTAGTTTTCCAGTTGCACCAGCGTTTTTACATTGCCAACTTCACATCTAAAAACACAGAACTCACATGTAGGTTCTCTGGCGGCTATGGATAATAAAAATGGCTATATTTGTTTCACAGACATCGTGACCCCTGGTTCCTGCCCCCCCACCTGCTGTATGTTTCTCTACAATAAGCCATTTCACATCAAACCACTCTGTATGACTGTATGACTCTCTTTACACCTCACACACTGAATTATTCAGAAATTCTGAAAAATCGGTGGAATTCCCCCTTAACTATCCGCACAGAGACAATGTGCCACAACAGTAGCAGCAGAGCACGCTTCTCTGCCTGAAAGGCTTAACACGGAGCAAACGACGCCTTTACTGCCTAAGAAATACGCATTAAAATCCACCGAAACAGCCGTTTACTCTGGTGTGTTTACTCTGCATATATTAGTGTCTATATTTCTTTATCATTTCGTTCTGAACGAACAGCCGCGTAATAGCCGGACAAGTTCTGAGGCTACACTCGCTTGGCTTCGTCACATCGAGAACACTTCCCCCAACACCTCAATACTGTAGCTGATGTAAACAAGCAGATTTACCTTATATTCTAGTGTCTCGTGTTGCTCGAGGCAGGCGTGGACACGAGGATCATACTGGTGCTGCTTTTGCTGCTACGTAGACTGAACACCGGTCCCGTTATTGTGGTCGCTTTCTTTCAGCGGTTCGCCTCACAGCCTCACAGTCACACAGTTGTAATTCACTCTCCCCGCCTGTACAAACAGTCGCTCGCACTAACGAGCGACCAGGCGCTGGGAGGGGAGGGTAGCCCAGGCACGCGCACAGAGCAAAGTGATGAGCACGCGCATTCTAATTTATACCTAGGCGTATGCCTGAAATTTGACAATCCGAGATAATCCAGATAACTTTTGCGTCCTGAGCTAATTCAGAAAATTTGCCGTACATCAGCACGACACATTTAGTTGAAAGCATTCTGCGTCATTTTCAAAGTAAACTGACAGCCTCGATTTCAAAACCAACTGCAGGGGCTAAACCAACTATTATAGGCTATATGCTTGTATTGGTAGCCCACAGGTCTACTAAGCCATTCATATTTCAGACAAAAAATCCTTCTGACCAAAACAGTGAAAAGGCATAAGGTGGAAACAGGGGCGGTCTTTGCACTAAAGGCATAGACCGCGTTCAGTGCAAAACATACTCATAGGGCTCTCCCATGAGCCAAGAGGCCCATTAAATCACATAAAGGATGAAGATATATATATATATATATATATAATATATATATATATATACAACAAAAGGCTGATGAAGTTGTGTAATGCTAAAAACAATACCTGGTGGTTGATTGGCAACAGATCAGTAACATGACTGGGTATAAAGGATAAAGGATCATCCCAGAGAGGCTGAGCCTTTAGAAGAAAAGATGGGGAGGGGTTCACCACTCTGTGAAAGACTGCACGGACAAGTGCAACAATTCAAGAATAACGTTGCTCAACATAACATAGCAAAGAACTTTTGCTTTTCATCATCTACAGAACATAATATAATTAAAAGATTCAGAGAATCTGGAGAAATCTCTGTATGCAAGGGACAAGGCCAAAAACCAGTATTTGCTTGCCATGATCTCTGGGCCTTCAGACAGCACTGCATTAAAAACGGATATGATTCTGTAGTGGAAATCACTGCATGGAAGCTCTATGAAAACAGTTCAGCACTGCATCCACAAATGCTAATTAAAACTCTTAAATGCAAAAACGAAATCATATATAAACAGGATCCAGCAATGCTGCCATCTTCTCTGGGCCCGAGCTCATTTAAAATGGACCGAGACAAAGCAGAAAAGTGTCCTGTCGTCTGACGAATCAAAATTTGAAATTTTTTTGGAAATCATGGACACTGTGTCCTCCGGGCTAAAGACTACTCAGCTCGTTATCAGTGCACAATTCAAAAGCCAGTATTCATGATGATATAGGGGTGCATTAGAGCACATGGCATGGGTGACTTGCACATCTGTGAAGGCACCATTAATGCTGAACGATATATACATGTTTTGGCAACATATGCTGCCATCCAGATGATGTCTTATTCAGGGAAGGCCTTGATTATTTCAGCAAGACAATGTCAAACCATGCTCTACATGTATTATAACAACATTGCTCCATATTAAAAGTGCTCACCTGAGTTAACTCTCAGCTTGACAGCTTCCAGTTTTCCAGACTACAAGCAATCATCAAGACCCAACACAGGATTTTCCACCCCCAAAACATACTTAGCTGCAGATCTGGCATGCAGAATCCCAGCTGATGCTCACAGCCCTACAAAAAAGAGAGGACACAATGGTCAGTTATGAATACAGTTATGACTATTACCCTTTAATAAATATTACAAGTACAGTTACTGCTGGAAAAACAGTGCGCACACACACATACAGTTCACATTTCATGTGTCAAAAAAAAACAGTTTCACCTCCCAAATTAAATGTCATATATGCACCTTGAAGTGCAGATCCGTCACATGGAGCACAGCAGGACACTTGCATTACCAGATGGCACTCCTGCAAAATCTGTGAGGCAGGGTGTCCTCTAATGTCTCTTGTTTACAAGGAAGCATACTTGGCATGCATGCATGAGACAGACTTCAGTCCAGTGTCCCCCTTAAAGGAAATTTCTGATGTAATCAACCAATGTAGTTCTCCAATTAAATTTCCTCAGTTCTTGAGTTTTTGTGATATGCACCAAAGGGGCTATTGCAGCACTCAGATTGGTATTCATCTGTTCATGTGTATAGATGACACTGTCAAAAGTGTTTTGATATCCACTCAGACATCATTCATAGGACTAAGGATAAATTAAATATTCAAGTCTCACTTAGAGTGGAGGTTTTCAGTTCAGCCGCCTGAGATAGGTTTGTTTATATGATACCTTTGTGTGATACTGCATGATGTTATCTTTCGTAAATGGACTGAATTTTGTCTGTATCTTTAGGCATTTTTATAGATAACAGTACATTTTGCACAACTTCATAATGCTAGTTCCAGTACAAAACTAAAAAAAGACAAATTTGGACACCAAACGTGATAACTGATGGATTCAATTTGATGTTTTACCTATCAGCACAGCAAATGGGGCAACATCCCTTTATACTGTGCTTTTTGAAAGAAGCGTATTGTCTCTCTCCAGTATTCAAACCACCATACTCATCTATCACTGGCTTTGAAGGATCTGTCTTATCCTCTTATTAACTCTTATTATATTAATAACACAGAGGCTAACTATAATATTATTCTCTTGAAACAAAGGAGTCAGCTAGTTATAAGCTTCAATACTTCTTTTCAATTACACAAGACCACATGTAGCTAAATGTGATGTACAGTGATATTAACTACTTTTATGTATACTGATATTAATTTTTCATTTGCTAAAAAAACAGTACTGGGTTACTTTTTTGCTGTATATATATATATATATATATATATATATATATATATATACAGCTGTAAGTAACGAATTACATTTACTGTCGTTACTTTAATTGAGTACAGTTTTCCCTGTAACAGTACTTTTTGGAGCAGACTTATATCATAGTACTTTTACTCTTACATATACAGCTCTTATATATACAGCTGTACGTAGCGAATTATATTTACTGTCATTACTATAATTGAGTACAGTTTTCCCTGTAACGGTACTTTTACTCTTACTTAAGTTAATTTTTAATGCAATACTTTTACTTCGCTACTTTTATTTTCATAACGTTACAGAGTAAAAACAAATTGTGAACGTATCAGCTCAGAAACCAATACGAATGAAGGGCGGTTAAATTTAAAAGAATTACCAATCAAAAAACAGCAGCTTGGGCAGGAAAAACATTACAGAGATGTCCAATTTAGTGGAGAAGGACAGATGAGAACTGAACCAGCACAGACGAGGAACAGACCGCATCCAAACAGTCATCTGTATTCATTTTCACATGAACTAAAGAAAATGGCATTATTATCAGCAGGCAAACACGAAACCTGCTGAGATCCGCTTTCACAGCTCAACTCAAGCCTGAGGCAGCGTTGGCCAAGCTAGTTGATCCAAGCTAAACAGGTACTGTGTTTGCGGTTTTCTTCTTTCTTTTATATTGATTTTGTTTATTACACTGGAAATCTGTTGCGTATATTTTATTACAAGTGCCTGTCACTTAGAAATCCAGTCTAATACAGGCTCTTCTTAAACTATGCACAGTGATTCTGTCGCACTGTTGTTGACTGGCCTGATCTGATCCCTGACACCTGCCCGCCCTCTCTCTCTCTCTCTCTCTCCCTCTCTCTCTTTCTCTTCCTTTCTCTCTGTCTGTCTCTCTCTCTTCCTCTTTCTCTCTCTCTCTCTCTCTCTCTCTCTCTCTCTCTCTCTCTCTCTCTCTTCCTCTCTCTTTCTGTCTCTCTCTCTCTCTCTCTATCCCTATTTCTCTGTCTGTCTCTTTCTCTCCCTCTCTACCTTGGTGTATGTCTTTAAATGTGAGAGGCTGTGTAGCTGTTTAACTTTAATTGTCTAATGCAGTAATAATGTCTGATTCTGTATGAAGTGATCAGTATGATTACATGATTAGTAAATATATTACAGTAAAAATCAAAGCTGGGTAAATTGCTGATGTTGCTGCTGATTTTAATGGTAGAAATGTTCTGAATTGATATCAGTGAAAATATACAGTGTGAAGGCTGTGAATGTGTTTAATGTCTGTAGAGGTTCACACCTATTAACGTAAGCAGGACTCTCACTAAAATTACGTTATTAATTAAGCGATCTACTCATTTCCGAGTCAGCTCAGAAATATGTTCAGGTTGTAAGTAACTCGGTACCTAAGTAGTTTTTCAACAAACTCTTACTCTTACTATATATATATATATATATATATATATAATATATATATACACACATAGTGTGTGCAAGAAACTGCAAACTGCTTGTCTGCTATGACAGTTGACTGAGAGAAGAAAGCATGCTGGCAGTAGGAGACAGCTTGATCAGGCCTGGTGGTTACTATAGCACCCCTTGCTGTGATGCTCAGAATGCAGCTTGCGGTTGCATCGCATTATGAATTGGTCATGATACATTTTTGAACACAACAACATACGAAACCATGTCTGCATAGCTGCGAATGATTTCTAGCCATGCACAGTTGACAGAGGGCTGTTAAAGCTGCTCTACTAATAAAGATAATAAAGGTTCGCATTCCTCCATTGTATACCCATGCACGGCGGACGACTCTTTTGCGCCATAAAAGAAAATGCTAATTTTGTGTTGGGCTGTGGCTCAATTCACATAACATTGTACTAGTATGTTCAAAATAGTAACAACACCATTGATGGTATACTAATTAAGACGTACTATTTAGTACGGTATGTGCCGTTTGAGAAGCAGAGGTGGGAGAGAGACTTGACACACAAAGGCTACCCTTTACTTCTCACTCATGTACTATCAAAATGGCCTGAACAGCCTGTAGGCCTACCGACACCGTCAAGGTTTACTGACGTGAGCAACGCAACTTTTAAAAACGTTAAATTAAAATTTACATTTCAATTCATTTCCTTACGGACTCTGCTGCCACAGCATGTCCTTGATTTTGCCTGATATGTATAGTCCATGGCCTCAATACTGATAAAGCTGACTGTGGCTCCACATAGTTACCAGATCGTGCAAAATCAAAGGAATCAGACAGGAAAA